CTTGGCACTTTGCACCAGCCTGGAATTTATTTTGAAATTCTGAGAACAGGAATTTGGCCTTATAAGATTCCTGATAAAATAATTGGCTTTTGGGGCTTAACTGTCTTCATCAGATTGTCCCTTTGATTACTCAAGAGTGCTCTTCTTTCCACCTTAAAACCTACAAATAAACTCACCCTCTCTCAGTCATTCACCCTGTGTCTTCCTTCTTTAAAAAAATTAATCTGCCTCGCAAGTGCAAGGACCTGAGTTTGATCCCCGGTACCAAAAAAAAAAATAAAAAAAAAAATCATCTGGCCCAAACTACATTAAAAAGGAAGAAGATTCTATCTCAAGACAACAACACTGGGTCTGGTCCCGTGGCTCTTGAAAGAACCTTATTTTAATTCTTTGAAGTCTCAGTGATAAGTAGCCATCACTCAGGCTGAACCGAGTTCTCAGGCACATTCTGGAAGACACTGGAGGTTCATCCTGTGACTCAGGACCGTTCCCTTTCCTCATCCAAAAAGAAAATCACAACTCAACACTTTTGCCATTCTTGAAAAGGATGGAATTTCCGTAGCCTTTTTAACAGAATAAGTTTATCAGTAGTAACTGGCAACAGATCAGAGAAGCTTCAAAAAGCTTAATGACACAGGTGTAATTAAGAAAAATGAAGAAGCAGACAGGAGGGCAGGGAGCTCAGACAAAGAGGCTGTGGTGCTGAGCCCTGCTGTGGCAGTCACTGACAGCTTTTGCTGATAGAGTTGACAAATTTTCTTGCTACCTCCTGGTTTCTCTCTCTCTCTCTGCTTCTTGGGGATGTTGCTCAGGGCACAAATTCTGGATGAACATTCCCTGCAGCATATAACCCAAACCCAGCGGGCATAGACTAGATGGGGAGAAAGTAACATTAGTGCTTTCCTCTCAGGAGATTTATGCATTGTGAAACTTGCTCTGCTAGAGCTCTTCGTTCAGATCAAGAGGCTGGGCAGCCTGCCTTCAGGAAGGTGCCCATCTCGTTGAGATTTTACAACACAGTCAAACCAAGGTTGGCACTCTTTTAACCATCCATAAATGAGTCCCTTGCCAACCAGGACCAGAGCAGTCCTTGTGGAAATAATGAACAGGGTTTGGCGTTCTTAGCTGGCCATCTGAGCTGTGGGTCTGTTATATTTCGTAGCACATATTCTTACCTGAAATAATCTCACTTATCTCTGTGTTTCTTTCTATCCTGTCCATGTTCTCTCACCAGAGAGACAAACAAACTTCATGAGAGCAGAAGCTTGCCTGTCTTGATTTTTCTCTGACTAGACAAGTGCAGGGTGCCTTTGTTAAAGCAGTGAATGAATTCATAAATAATGAATGAGGTTACAGTCATTCCTGTGGAACAGACTCAAGTCACCTCCACCAACTTGCATGGTACCCACTCTGTGAGATGAACAAGGTACAGTCCTGCCTGTGAGGGGGCAGGGGAGGACATGTGGGTTGGGCTCTCCTGGCCCTCTGAATCCACTCTCTGGGAAAGGCTGTTCATGTCTGTTCCTGATTCTTGGAGGGAAAGGATCAGATTTATTCACCTCTGAACTCAACAACCGTGCCCCTTCTAACCCCTCTTCATGTCCCACAGACACATTCTCTCTGCAAACTACACAGGAATAAGAAACTGCCAATGATTGCTTCATATATTATTGCTTCATATTCTAAATAAACCTGGGAAAACATTTTCCTGGAAATCTGTTGCTTTACTTCCTAAGCAACTAGGAGCAAAAGAGCAGGAATGAAGTAGCATTTCCTGTGGTGATTCTGCCCAGCTGCTACAGATGAGGGACAGGGTAGGATACACTAAACCAGCTCTTCACGTGCTGCCTTTATTTCACCAAGTCTCTGCCACTCAAGGTCACAAGCCGTGAATTCTATCTGCTGCCACTACTTGGAGGCCTCTCTGAGGTCCCTCCCTGTACCCACATCTTGTCACATGCTGGAGGAGATTATAGACTGAAGGAACCTTCAGCCATCCACACTGAACAAAGTAGAAAACTAGGTTAAAAGAGCCAGTTACAGTGATTTTCTACCTGGGCTCAGAATAACAAAGACAAACTAGACATCTGTTCCTGTCCACCAGGAGGACACAGAGGGAGAGATTGTCATAACATAATGATGGTATCTGGGCTAGGCATCTGGAAATGGGTTTAAGGAAGCCCAGAAAGGTGGTGAAGTACTGTTTGACATTAAGAAAGGCTGCTAGTGGAATAGGCAGTATATTTCTAAGGCTGAGCGGGAGTTTAAGTAAAAAGGAGGGAAAAGAATTGCAGACAGGGAAGGACACTGCGGAAACTTAGGGAAATGAAGAGAGTTTAGTGCATACAGGAAATTTCAGGAACTTTCTTATTAGCCATGTTATGAGAGGAAAGGATCAGGTGCCCAAGATGAGATGAACAGCAGCCAGACCACAAGGGACTTGAGTGACACAGAAAAGAGAGTGAACACTTCAGGTAATTGGAAGGTAGAGGGCTTTGAGAAGAGGAATGCTGTGAATCCATATGCGTTTTATTGCTCACACTTTGGCAGAAGTGACTATATGAGAGAGATTCAGAAAAGATGCTAGAGAATTAATTAAGAGGCTTTTGCAGTTGGGCAAGAACATGATGAGGCCTGGAGTTCTGAGGCTGTGGGAATATAGAGGAAAGGAAATATGTGAAGAAAAGAAGTCAGAGAAGACAGATCATGCTGCTGGGATGCAGATGTGACCAGCTGGTAGCTACATGGGGTGTCAAGGAAAGAGAGGACTGAATTGAGGTGGAAGTCTGAAGGAAAAACTATCTTGGTGGAACAGTAGGGAAGTAACTGAACTGCAGTTGGCCAGGAGAGAAGAGACATCACTTGGAAAAGCTCAACTGAAGAGTGAAGAAGAAAGGTGTACAACAGAGAGAGAAGTCAGATGATAGTCTCTGAAAATGCTAAACCTTATGCATAATTGAGAAGCTGGAGTCAGGAGATTGAGTGAGGTTGAAACTCAAAGGAGAGAGGGGATCATTAAAGAAGGAAGCTCTCCAAAGGGTGGGAGGGAGGGTGGTCGCATCAGCCTCTGCCCCACTACCTGATGTTGCTTTCTGAAAGAGAGCCTCGGGATGGGCTGAGGATACAACAGGATAACAATTATTTTAGTGACTTTACATAAAGCAAGTGCTCAGTGAGTGTATTTATTTGAGGATGAGAAACAATGGCCTATGGGTATGGCTAGGCTGTTTGTCCTAAACGTGTGACAGCAAGCAGCAGTGATGTTGGCCATGTGAACTTCTGTTCAGACTATCATCAGTCTGAAGCAAATAGACATGTCCAAGATAGACACTGACCGATATGGATGCCAATGAATTATGTGAGGCAAGTCTGGCCTGGTCCAGGAGAAACCCTCCTGGGACAGTACTGACTGCTCTCCCATTACTAGTTGTGTGCTAAGCCAAAGAGAGATGGATGTTCATCTTTGGGCAGGTGGGTGGGGAATTCTTGAGCACTGTTTGCAAGACTTCACTAAAAATGCTTCATAAATTCTGCCTTGTCACAAGCAAGGAACAATGCTGTGCCTTTGCTTGGGCCTAATGGGCTTTATATAGTACAGTACTGATTTTCTTTCACATTTTAATAGAATCAGATTTAACATTTGCTTTCTGCTCTTGCTGTTCGCTGTTGACTGATTCAACATAGAATCTTTCCCTGGTGCCCCCCGACCTTGTTGTTATTCCCTCATTTTGTGTGTTGGCATTTGATTCCTGTCTCCAGCATGAACCACTTTACACATGTCTTCGTTCAGCTGGCGACAGTCACGTGTGTGAATTCTGAATGCATTGCTATCCAGAGCAGCTGCTCCAGTGAACCCACCATTCAGAAGGGGGGCTCCTGGGCAAGATTCATTTCCATCCTAGACATTGAGGATACGCAAGGCTCAGGCTTGGAAGCCTGAGGCTATGATCTCTTCTGTTCATGGGCAAAAGATTCTCCAATTTAATCTCAAACTGCCCAGTACCGTGACTGTTAATTCAGCCACATTCTGTGCTCCTACAGAGTATCAGGTTTCTCAGAGTTTTGCATCCAAGCATTTCCACTTCTGCTGGATTGGAAACAGCCATAAATGAGTGGTTCAGAGAGAGAGCCTTGAGTCCAGTGAGCCTAGCTGGTTTACAGGAGACAGAGTCTGCTCAGAGCTGGGCTATGGTTAAGACCATGTGTTTTAGAATCAGGCAGGTCTGGGCTCCCACACTGGCTGTATATCTTGTAGGCCCCATGATCTTCTGGAAGCCTTAGTTTCCCTACATAATTCAGAAACCTTTGTATTTTCATGGTAGGATCTTGGGGGAACAAATGAAGCAATGCATGTAAAGCAGGCAGCAATGTATCCTGTACACACTCCTAGGCTCTGTTTATGATATGGTGTTAAAAATGGTTTTTATGTGACCTTCTTCTATTCAACAATGTACCTGTCTTAATGCACCAAAGCTTATGTAATGTGAATATTTATCTACCCAGGTGCTCCAGAAGCAATAAAAACCCCTGCCACCATGCATATACCACACAGATTCCAAGATTGACTGGGGCTTCTAGAGGGGCCACTCATCTCTCTACCCTTGAGTTCTACTCAAATTAAGAAAAGATAAGACATTCAATAAATGTCCAGTATACGATCATTTTGTTAACCCTTATTCTGGCTTGAGGATGTGGCTTGGTCCTGAGAATGAGACTTGACTTGTAGCCGCATGCTTGAGCTCTTTTCTCTCAGCACATACAATTAAAAAAAAAAAAAAAGAAAGAAAAGAAAAGAAAAGTTGGATAGGATTTTGGGACAGGTTGTCATCTCTGTCCACCACTTGTTCTTACAGAATTCATTGGAGCATGGAGACCTGGGGTCTCCAAGAAGAGGAGGGGTGAGTGTGTGGGGTGGGGTGGGCACCAGTGGCAAGCTAGAGAGGTTCTGGATGAGGGAGCTTCAGCCCAGCCTCATGGTACCCTTCTTTGTCTCCCTGCAGGTGTTCCATCAGGTCCCCGCAATGTCATCTCCATTGTCAATGAGACATCCATCATCCTGGAGTGGCATCCCCCAAGGGAAACTGGTGGGCGGGACGATGTGACCTACAACATCATCTGCAAAAAATGCCGGGCAGACCGCAGGAGCTGCTCCCGCTGCGACGACAACGTGGAGTTTGTGCCCAGACAGCTGGGCCTGACTGAGTGCCGCGTCTCCATCAGCAGCCTGTGGGCTCACACCCCCTACACCTTCGACATCCAGGCCATCAATGGAGTCTCCAGCAAGAGCCCCTTCCCCCCACAGCATGTCTCCGTGAACATCACCACAAACCAAGCTGGTGAGTCTGGAGGCTTCTGTGCTTTCATTCTGTCTCCATGGCTACTGTTTACCTCCCTTTCTGTAGGGACACAGCTGCAGCCACTCCCATCCTGTCTGGCTGCCTTCAGGCCTCCTATCCTCACTTGATAGACATTTATGGCCATGAAGGAAGTGGCTGTAGTGTTCTACCATTAATTTGTATCTGTTTCTCTTTCTATCTGTCTGTCTGTCTGTTTGTCTGTCTGAGACAGTCTTACTAGATAATTCAGGTTGAAAAATTGCTGTGTAGCCCAGGCTGGGCTCTAGCTTGCAATCCTCCTGCCTTAGCCTCCTGAATGCTGGACTTGGAAGCATACATCACCACATCACCATGCCTGGCTTAGCCTGAACTGGAGTCTAGGAGACTTTCTAGTAGTCATCACAAACACACAGATATGCTATTAGAGTAGGACCAAGTGCTCTGCATTAGTTGGTATTCACGAAATGCTATTGGAAAGATGGATAGAGGAACGGACAGACAGGTATGTAGGTGGGTGAACAGATAGATGGATGAATGTGTGGGTAGATGGATGGACAGGTGGATAGATAGATGCATGGATAGACAGATGAATGGGGTGAGTGGAAGTGTTATAAGACCTTGAGAACCGGAATGTCAATGCTTTAATGGAAAACCCAGTGAAAGGAACTTCCCAGAAATCATGATCAAGGGTAGTATTGCATTCATAGGTTATTTTTCATTAAACTTCCTTTATTCAAGGCTGCAGTCTTCTTTCTAGCTTGCTCAGATAAATGCTATAGTGTTGTAGAGGCTCAGACAGGTGCCAGTAGTTCATTCCTGATAATATATCCTGGTGGCATGCACAGCTCAGAACACACTTCCTTCTCTTTTTTAAAAAATCTATTATTATTTTTATTATTTTTTAATTGAGTTTATTGGTACAATCTAGGTCTACAATACAGTTACATTCATTAATGGGATCCTGTACCTTCACATGACAGGTCTTGGTTCTCATTTTTTCCCCTTGTCCCTGCCCTCCTATCACCCCCTGCTCCCCTCCCCATTTACAAACACTTTATTTCCATTTTTTCCATTTTCTCATATTTTTTTCTTTTCCCTTATTTCCTTTCCCCTACCCTTCCCACTTTCCCTACACCTTTAGACCTTTTCTTCCTATTTCACACTCTTAATTATCCCATTAGGATATTGTGTACTATTATAGTTTTTCACACTTTCTTCTCTTTATTTCTGTATCTCTTACTTTTCTGATCATTTCTTTTTATTGCTTTTCACACCTCTTACAACAATCTGTTTTTTATATCCATTTAGCCAGTATATTCATCCACTAAATCACTCATTTATTTATTTATACATTTTTAAGAGACAGTTACTTAGCATCCATTCTTATGCCATACTGTGAGAAATATAGTGGAACTTGGGTGACTTTCGTGGGAGTCCCTCCCATGAAACTCATTAATGGAAGAGGTTGTGGAATGCAGACATACTGTACAGGTCTGCAAGATGGTATATTCTAAGCATGTGCAAACCTGCAGTAAATGCCAAGGGCATCAGAGAAAAAAGAGCAGTCTCTCCTCTGTGTGATCCTTTAGGGCTGAAGAAGGAAGTGAACATCACATCTATGGACAAGTGGGGTTATAGGCAGTGGACCATGATCTTATTTGGAATTATAGATTTTTCTTAATCAAAAAACTTCTAGAAGGGCAGCTTATTCGTGGAATAACAAGAGCCAACCATTTCACTTCCTCTGTGCATCTCCCTTTTCTTGATCTCTTCTTTTTTACTCCATCCTTTTCTTCTCTTCATCTTCCCATCCTGGACATGCTGCTTTTTATTCATTTGTTTGTTTGTTTATTTAATTTTGGGGTGGTACCAGGGATTGAACTCCAGCCCTTGGGCTTGAAAGGCAGGTGGTAGAACCACTGAGCTAAATTCCGGCCCTCTGCCTCTTTTAATACCAGGCATCTTTGATGGCAGATGATTCTTGGGTTTAAGCTGTCAGAACTGAGAAGAAAAAAAAGGTGTCGTAGGAGAGCGTGTCTGTCCAGATGGCTGAGTTATTGCTCTGTGTGTGTGTGTGTGCGTGTGTGCACGCGCACGTGCGTGTATATGTTCATGTGGTGTGTTTGTGTATGTGTGCATGGTCACGTGTTTACATGCATACGAGTATAGTGAGAAAATAAGGATGGAAGTGTAGAGGCTTCCAGCTGGTGACCACATCCCCAGTGCCATGGAGACAAAGGTTGTGACAGTCTGCATTACTCAAAAGGGAATGATAATTTCTGCATTATGGTGAGCATGTAACATGGGCAGCCTTTGTTAGCAGTATTTCCCTTAGAGAATTTAAGGCAGAAAACTGGCTGAAATATTTTAGTGTCCCAGCTTCTGGGAATAACAATCCTGCCAGGCTGTCATGTTACACTGGGCTTGGCTGTCTTTTCTCTCTCTCTAAGCATGTGTGAATAAACCTGCCACTTATATCAGTTTGCTTTTATTTCTTCCCCTCCCTTCCCTTACCCTGCTATTCCCGAACCTGCCCATCTGCTCGTCTTGCCATCTGCACCTTCCCAGGCTGCAGTGGAGATGAGAGACCAGGGCTTCTGCAAGGGGCTCTGCATTATCAACATTCAAAATATTTATTTTTATCCTCATCTATTAGCTCCACCACAAACAATGTTCTCTTGCCCTTTGTTCTCCCGCTAATGGGCCCTTTATTCTTAATCTTCCCTGATTTTGCAGCCCCAGACTCCATTATCATTTTCTAATCTATGATTCCTCTTTGGTAATTGTAGAATTTGGGTGTTGGTAAATTTCTATAATCAGTGAGAGAATGATACAGTTGTTCCTTGGTGTTGCATAGTTATTATAAAACAAATATCAAGTTGACTAGTAGTTCCTAATCATTGTACTACAGTGGTCTGAGGAACATTGTGGTATCATAATGGATTGTTGAATGCAAATTGTCTTCAGCTAAAAGATAGTATTTTTTGAAGGTAGAAACCATCAAAATAAGCATTTGATCCTGCTTTGCTACAAGAACAATATAGAAGCATAACATAAACTACACATTTTCCCAAAGATAGAAGAGGTAAATATTAGCCATTATGAAAACCTAATATCTTGCTTCCATTAAGGTATAAGGTGGGTATATGCGTGTCACCACTAGACCATGATATGTGTAACATCTTCCAAGGACCCCTGAGTTTGTCCACTCTAGGTGAAGTCTAGGTAGACCTTTGGACAGCACTGGATAGGTCTTGGTTGAATGACAGATAAGCAGTTATTATTATGGTTGGTACCTCATGGGTATTTCTTTGATTTTATAAAGAATTTTGTGATCTGTAGATTTATTTTGATTTTCATAACTACCCAATAAGTGGCATTATTGTTCCTCATATTTGAGGTAAAGAAGCAGAGGCTTAAAGGGATTTGGAGAGTCTAGAATAAGGGTGAGTCTAGAATCAGAGGTGAATTTGACTGGGGGATCACCAAACAGTCTATTGAATCTTTAGATTCCAAAAGTCTCCATCTTCTGCCACAAATCCAATCCTCTATATAGTCCTGACACTCAAGAATATTATATCACTTAGGGAGTATCAGAATTGGATCCTTACCTAGTCTACAGGCAGAGGCAGAAAGTTTCCATTTCTGAGCAGCTAATGTACCAAGCCCTAGAAAATCCTATACAAAGAGATAGTGGGTCCGGTGAGGAAACTGGGGTTAGAAAGCTTATAGAATTTGCTCAGCATCTTACAATCAGCAAATGATGTTTCTCGGTTTCAAACTTGGGTTTGGGGCCATTTTATCCTCAGACTGATCAAAAACCATATTACAGTGGGGTATGTAAGTTATAAGCTCTGTCTAAGCTATTGCCACCCAGCTGGTCTACTTTAACTGTCAAAAAAATGTCCATCATCTTTGGTCAGGGTTGGTCATGAATTATGCAAGCTCATATTTACTTGAGGCCTTCAGGTATACATGCTTGCACTGAATACAGATGCCATGAGTTTAAAATAGGCCAGATCAGGTGGCGTGCTCTCTATTCTAGTGGCCAAGTGATCTGCAGAGACACTGTAATCACCACTAGCTTCAGCACTCTCTGGCACCTGACCCAGATTCAGGCCCATGGTTGGATCATCTGGGTATCAGAGACAATTAAGTGAATGATAAACTTAACTTCTCTCTCCTGCCAGTGAGACTCAGAATATCAAAGTTGGGGAAGAAGACCTCAGAAAAAATCTTGGTGTGTGTTGGGAGGCGGAGGTGAAACAGTCCAGGACATACATGTTTTGGGACTATCTAAGCCAAGGAGAATAAGCTCAAATGCCCCTGAGGCCAGCCTGGTAGTGGAGAGGAGCAAACCAAGGCCAGGCAGTAGGGACTTGTAGGGACTACAAGGAACTGAAGAACACAGGTGCAGAAACTACTCAGCTCCAACAAGTATTGCTGTGCTCATCACTGCTTGATTTTATAAGCTGAAAATCCAGATTTAAAATGTTTACAACTGATTAGAAAAATTTAAAGCAATTGGGAGCCAAACAAATCCAATTCTGGATTTGGCCTGTTGGCTATGGTTTACAGCGTCTGATTTTGAAGGCTAATCTGATTGACTCAGTCCTTAACGATGAGCAGGCTATGTTGTTTTAATCTCCTTCTTCCCTCCCACAGTTATTTTCTTTACCTCTTGAGCTCATGTTGGCAGACATACAGTTGGTGGGGGGCTTCCTGGACTTGGTTTCCCATTCTGTTCCTCATATGACTCCTGCAAATTCATTTATCTGCCAAGAGCCCTCATTTCTTGCCTATAAAATTAAAAGCATGATGTATGCTTTCTAGTACTGTAGTCACAAGCAAATGAGGCAGCTGTGAAAATCTCCAAGCTGTGGACTGGGAGATTAGCAACATTTCCGAGACTATGTCGTAATCCAGAGAGCAATTTGCTGGACTTTTTCTCCCTAAGCTCTTTCCTTCCAAGGCTTCTCAGCCTTTGTTTGGGACTGATG